TCCCCGCACCAACTGTCCCCGCGCCGCCGCGGCTGCGAGAGCCGCCCCCAGCCACGTCCTGGGAGAGACGTGGCCGCGCAGCGCGGGCAGCTGGGAAGGGATGAAGCTGTGCACCCCTCTGTGTGTGTGTTTCTGTGCAGGCCCTGGAAGATGCTTTCTTAGCCATAGATGCCAAGCTCACCACAGAGGAGGTGATTAAAGAGCTCGCCCAGATGGCTGGGCGGCCCCAGGATGATGAAGATGAGAAGGAGAAGGTTGCTGATGAGGATGATGGTAAGTCAGATGCCAAGGAGTGGGCAAGACTGTCCCTGCAGGCCAGGGTGTAGCATCGCCTGGGCCGGGTTCTCGTCAGCTTTAGGGTTCGCTCTCAAAGCTGCCCGGCTGAATTCAGCCGCATGTGCACACGTGTGCACCCGCTCCCCCTGCGGTGTCCCTTGCTTTCCTACGTGCTAGGGCAGTCTCATTCATTTGGTAGCTTAATCCAATGCAGAGCCAGCGACTTGGGGACAGTTCCGCGCAGGGTGCGGGGCTCTGGCACGTGTCAGCTCTAGGATGTGCTCCCTGAGCTGGGAAATGGACTAAGGGAGGAAGTGAAACAGGGATGTCCCCTGCTTAGCTCCGCTGGGCAGGTGACAGACACAGGCTGTAAGTAGGATTCTGTTAGGTTCCTGTCTGTTTTCAACATTTGTTTTTTATTATTTGAAAAGAGGCAAATGTGCTTTCCTAGCTGAGCACAGTTGTCAGGCCAGGAGGCTCTAGGTGCGTCCCGGGGTAAAACCTGCTGCTGCCCCTGCTGAGTACCTTGTGACTGGCCGTGAAGCAGATGCAAAGGGAGGCTGTGGCCGTAAGTGCCTCCGTCTGACTCTGCTGGGCTTGGTGGCCTTCCCTGCTGAGCAGAGTTTTGTTTTTTCTCTTTTCAGGGCCCTTCTAGATAGGGCTCTTTCTTTTCCTTTTTGTATTAACTAGCAAAGGAGATGATAAATGAGAGCATACGGCAGAGAAACCATGGGATGCTACCTGATGCCAGTGCAGTTTTCCCTCACAGTTTAGGGACAGTCATCCTTCATTATTTTTTTGTCTGGTCTCCTTCTGGAGAGATGATGCGTTCCCCCCCGAAGCTCTCCTGTCACCTGGATATCCAGGTGATCGCTCTTCTACCCAGCTGTCTGGATTACAGCTGTCTGGGACCCCGGAGCCTAAGGCCCGTGGCGCAAACTGCTGTAACGAAACTTGTTCTTGGTTGCAGTGGAGAAATCTGCACATGGAAGTGCTCTGTTTGCCTCCCCAACAGCAGGTTTGAGCCTGCATGGGTGAAATAGGAGGCTCTTTGGCCTTCGACTTTGCCTCCCCCTTGAACGCCTCTGTGCTGTCAGCA